TGTCATTACTCGGAGTAAAACACCGTCTTGCTGTGATTTTTCACAAGCTCATCTCGCAAATGCAATGCGGTCCAGAGCAGGGATGGGACTCTCTTAGTAGGATAAATTGCAACGAAAACAAGCCTGTTGCAATAAGCAATAAATCGATTAATGGGGCAATAAATTAAAATGAGCTCAAAGATTTAGTTTTTCTTGTCTCTCTATGAAAAAAATGGATGACCAAAGTCTTCAGTCTTGCTCCGTTTTTGAAGGACAGTTTGGTTTACAGAGAACTCAGAATCCATGTTAATTGTGGTTTCAGGTTTTTGTTTATGTTGGATATTTAAAATGTTCATTACAAATTAAAATTTATTTATATTTAAAGGGTGAACTTGCATTATGGTGCGATTTCCATTGCATAACTTGAAAATGGTCTCAAAACACCGATATTATTGTTTGTCATAATAACTTCTGGAACAACTTATTGCCCAGCAAAATGTGTTACTATGACAGGCCTAGATAAAAATTTTATGATTTTATCGATTACCAATTGAGTCAAAAAAAACAACAACTGTATAATATTATCTAATAGTGGTTTTTAAAATCCAGATTCTTTAAAAACTGAGACTTGATCTGTTTAGAGCTGCTTTTGAACCACATGAAACATGAACCAACATATTCGATGATGGTATTCATCAAAATGTAATATTTGTCATCGGTTTCTCAGTTGTTGACTGTATGATTTTATGACCTCTCATTCTTGTGTTTCTATGATGTAAAGCACTTTGAACCGCCTTGTTGCTGAAATGTGCTACACCAATAAACTTGATTGATTTACTTTTTACATCTAAATACAAATAACCTGCAAATGCCAAGTTCAGAGTCGAGCTTCGGAGGCGCATAGGTGGACATTTCAGACCTTGTTGCCAAACGTGCATCTCTTTCTCAGTGGTAATTTATTATAAGGCGAGCCCGATGAATAATGTATGATTAAAAGACTTAATGGATACACAGGGACCCATCAAAATAAAAGTAAAAATCCATTTGCTCTCCCTGCTGTAAATCCACCGGCCTGTCCTTGGGCTAATTTCCATCCGTGGCATTGGGGAGGGAGCCCGGCGTACGTCTCGAATTTGATTAAATAGGGAGTTGCTGTTTGTGCCGTTAATTCGTAGAGAAAAGAAACCTACGTGAGGGATCTCGTTGTGACACGCAGGTGAGCAACACACCCACAAACACAGAACTCTCCAGATGCATCCGCTCTTCGAAACGCTCAACTCTCCGGCTCCGTTCGTCTCCGTCCCCCTCACCCCCTCTTCCTCCAAGCAGCTGCCTCTTCTGCGCCTGAACAAAATGAAGGCAGATGAATCAATTTGGCCTGTGGCCCTAAAGTGCACTTGTCTGCGCCCCAGCTTGGGCGTGGGGGATAATGAGCCAATAGATTGAGCTGGTGCCGCAGCCCGGCACTAAGCACCAAGGTGTCTCCGCCTGCCACACCACTGGGCCGCCCTCACACACACACACACACATTGCTGACGCTTCCCTGAGCAGCAGCAGCAGCTTGTCGCCGGGTTAATAGAGGTGAGGGTCCTTTGCGCAGGACACTTTTCAGAACAAATTAGAGAAATGATCTGTATCCGTCATCTTCAGCTTCTTCCCGAATCCCTTTTTTTTTCCCCCTTCTCTTCCCCCTCCTTGTCCTGCGCCGGTGAAGCTCAAAGAGCAGCGTCTTAGCTTGAAAAAGAAGAAGAGCATCGAGGGAGCTAGACAGGAAGGAGCAGGTGGGAGGGCGAGGTCCAAGATCCTAAAGTAATGAGGATTGACACCGGGACAAGAAGGAGGCGCAGCTTCCCCTCAGTGCTAATGACAGGTGATGGCAGCCAAGGAGAGTTGAGGCAGAGTGAGAGAAGAAAGGGAGAGGAGTGAGGTCAGAACTAACAGGCTCTCTGATCCAAGGAGGAGGACGAGGGGAGACCACACAGGCCTTCTGATGCCCCCTCACTCCCTGCGCCCCCCACAAAGTGAAGGAGGAGGGAGGATCAAAGGAGCAGGACAACAAAGCTTCACCCTGTAGCCTTCAGCCAGCTCCCTGCTGACGAGCTGCGGATTGATTGACACCGCAAGGGCAGCGAAGGAAGAGAAGGGAGGGCCAGCCAAGCCGTTCTGATGTGAGCCGTCTCTGCCCGGTGTAGGCCGTACTTCACAGGGGGTCTCTGTAACTTAACCCAGGGTTAGAGTATTATAAATGTACAGACCTCAGCCAGCATTACTCAACTAGGGGGAAATTAAGATGCTGGAGGGTCCTTTGAAGATAATTAAAGAGCACAAAGCAGCGGCCTCCAGAGACAGACTGCAGACATGTTCAATACCGAGACTAATGGAGCTAATTTCTAGTACATTATTCATGTAAAACCCAAGCCTTTACTTAGCTGTGATTTTTTTTTCTCCCTTCTATTTAACATCTATAGACTTAAGTCGTACCCGTCATGTTCAACCCTCCTCAACACAAACACAATTACTCACATTCATTGCTTTAACCTGATTAACCTTGCCCGACTGCTTCTTAAGAATATCTCTGTTTAAAAGGAACGTTAAATAAAAATAAAAAAAACCCGAATCCCTAACTGCAAATTTCTTAAGCAGCTCATTAGTGAATGAAGCCTAACCAAAGACTTTCCACTGGGTCCAGGGTTATCCAGGGTTACAGTGAAACCTCTGAATGAGCATGAATGCCGTAGACATGTATTTTACTCTGTACATAAATGTGGAAGATGAACTTGGCTGGTATCCAAGCAGTCGTACTGCACAAGTCGTTGTGATTTTTCAATTCGAGAAAGAAGTTTCAACTTTTTTTCCTTAGCACTGTCGAAACAAATCTGTTGTCCGATGGCGAGTAAAAGAAAAAAAAAAATCCTATTAATTTACCTATTTTTACTTGCAAACTTTTAGACACCGATATAAGTTTCGCCAGCACTTTTAAAGATGGGGTGTACGGAGTGCCAATGCTGCCAAAATCTTTGGCCATTGTATTGGCTAATGGGCCAAGTGCAAAATTCTGCAGGATAAGTCATAATGTGATTCTGGGGGGAAAAAAAAACAAAAACAAAAAAAACTGAATGATTGCCTCAATTGTGGCAATTTATTTCAAACAGAAACAAGTTCATTATTATTATTATTATTATTATTATTATTATTATTATTATTATTGTTATTATTATTATTATTATTAAAGATTTTGGTCGCATTTTACCATTCAGTGTTATTGCTGCTGCTGCTGCTAGGAGGAATAAATAGAGATAGAAAGATTAGAGTGATGTTGGACCAACCAAATTTAATTTATGGTTTTCAAGACATAGGAATTTCATTAGAATTAATTAAATTTTTATTTCAAAGTTCTACTATTTACTTTTTTTAAATAGGGAATGATCACATCTCTCTCAAACATCAAACATCCTTTCATTTTATTAAATAGTAGTATGTAGCAAGATCTATATTGTCCTATCCCATTGATGTAAAAACGTAAATTTGTCTGGTGATGAACTGTGAGCTATCAATGAATCTAAACCTTGTGCCGACTCTTAATTTGAAGTGGGAAACGAGTTGCTTTGTTGACTGAATCAGATAATAAAGACTTGCTGACTGGCAATATTCAGTTTATAAAAGCACTTAATAAGCCCCCACTTCTTTTAAATAATTTGTGTGAGAACATTTTGGCTTGGCACTAGAAAAAAAACAAAAAAACAAAAAAAAAACAGACAAAATCCAAACCATTTGTAAGCCCTCGTGGAATTCCATGCTTGGCTAAGCCTTAGCCGCTAACAATGCTGACGTTAGAATCTGCTTCATTGCGATCAGCTCCAAATTAAAGGCCTATTTTACATCATAGACGTCTCCTCTGATGAGTAACTGTATTGTTAGACCCACACTAGAAGGAAGAAAGAAGAACCCGGGCCAATTAAGCACCTCCCCAGGCAGGAAGTTAGTCCCGACATAATCACAGGCAGTCAGGATTGCCAGTCTTTTGTCAGAGTTTACGAATTCCTTCCCAGATCAATTGCCATTCTGTTCCATTGAACTGCTGCTTGGGGAATGGTCCTTGCACGCCGCATCATTAACCTAGATGCCTAATTAGAAGCTTTGCTCTGATCAATTGCCAAATTGATTGCGGACGTGGTAATGTACCCCCAGGGCCCTGGAGAAGATGAAAACACTTTGGGTGCCTTCAGGAATTAGTCAGCAATACCGATGGTGGGTAAACAAAGTAATCAACAACAACACTTGACACCAACGTGACACCGACTGTACCTCGAAGCTCTGTCTCTGCTGATGTGCCTGCTTGCCTGCCTGCCTGCCTGCCAAGGAGGATTGCTCTCTTTGTGCTCCCTTTGAGAGGAGGAAATCAAAAGGGCCACCTTCTATTTTGAGATTCAAGAAGTGATTAGGCTGACAGCAAGTCTAGAGAAACTGAGAGAGGCTGAGGGAGACGCGGTTAGATGTGGAAGTCAAACCTGATTAGGCCCACCTGCCAGGTCTATCTTCCTTCCATCACTACTCCCTGATTGCTCGGTAGGAGCCCCTCCTTCCTTCATCTCCCCCTATTTAGCCCCTACACTATCACTATTGACCTCAGCGGACTGCCGATGCCCCTTGGCCAATCAGCATGCAGGCCTTGGCAGCAGCAGGGTAATTAAAAGTGAATTGTCTGCTTGGCATGTACGCTGGTGGGCACAAGGGTAGGCAAACACTTCCTCTCTCGGCTGCCCTGTCTTCCCCCTCTTTCCCAGCCAGGTGGTAGCGTACAGGACCTGTCAGATTAGCTGATGACCCTTTTAATTCTAGCCCAGCCGGGGGCCATAATTGATATTTACCAGGAAAGGTTAATTGTAGCAGTGATCTGCTTAAATTACAGTGGAGATCAGGAGACCGGGGCCAGACACCACACTTGCCACCGGGGGAGCTACTACACGCTCACTGCTAGTCAAATGGATTACACCCCACAGTCATCACTGTTGTACGCCAAGATGGAGAAGCAGAGAGAGGCATTTTCATTGGCCACTCCGCATCAGCGCCGGGTCCCCCTCGCCGAGTTCACCAACCTCCCATCTGGCTGGGAATTTGGAGACACGCCAACTGTGTGGCTTGACAGGCTGCAAGAAAGCAAAGCTTTTATTATAAGGGTAACACTGACGCGGGTCAGAGAACATGCGCTCACTTGTACGGTTAAGCTCAACAAAAACATTGTGTGTTTAACACAACATATAAATCAATCAATCAGATTTATATGTAATGCACATTATAGCAACAAGGCAGTTCAAAGTGCTTTACATCAGAAAAACACAAAAATCAGCAATTGGAACATTACATTTTGCAAAGTGCCGTCATTACAGATCAAAATGTGTAATGATTTGCACAGCGTTCTTTAAAAGTTGTGAAATAATTGAGACGGATGAAGGATAACAAACCCTAAACATGAAACCAGAGCTACAATTAACAGGTAAAGATCAGATCACGTGCTAGAATGTTCCAAAGTACAATTACATCTTACATCTTACAAATTACATCTTGGAGTAATTTACACCAAGATGTACTGTAGGTTGTAAAGCAAACCCTATTGTTTTTGTTACTAATGACTGGTTGAGTAACCCTTATAAAGGTGTACAATTATTTCCACCCATCCATCGTCTACAACCGTTTATCCTTGCAGGGTTGCAGTCATATGGTGAAAGCCAGGTTACACCCTGGACAGGCCACTAGTCCATCACAGTGCTATTCAACTATTTAATTGTTGATCGTTGACAGTAGTGAAGTAGTGATTAAATAACAGCATGTGGGAGTCTTGGTTCCTTTGGTCTGTGGATCTGTAATGGTCGCTGTGTTTCAGGTGTTGAGCTGGTAACACACAAGTGAAATGTTTCTTTGTTCTTTATTTTTTCTTACTCCTTTTACATCGAAAAAAATGAACTTTCCATTTTACAGCCAATAATTTAAAAAAACACACTTTGAAGTAGTGTTATTAGTGAACATGAAAGAAAAAAACAGCAATGTGAAGACCAAGGAACACAACAGACGGCTCAGAGAGAAAGTGGAGGAAACATTTAAAGCAAAAGGGAAAGTTTCTCAAGTGCTGTACTTGTGTTTGTGACAGTATGATTCCTGTATCATGCAGTCACAGTCACAGAATCACCTAAAAAAATAGGTATTCAGTAGTTCTTCTTGTCACTTTTATCATTGTCGCAACACTACCACAAAATATTGATTAAAAATTCACATCGCCCAACCGTTCACTAAAGTTTGTGGCATTTAAGTGACATTTGAAATGATTTAACAAATATGGATGTTTTTTTGGAAGGTCATCTAAATGGTACATTCCACTTGTGTACATGTTTGTTTATGTGTGATTATCGACATAGTTTTTTCAGACTTCTTTCCTCGCGTGTCTTTGGCAGATCAAACCTTTGGCGCCGCGTCCGGTCAAGCTCAGAGAGGACGAGACTTTCCAAGAATTTAGTCGGCCGCACAGGAGCAACTCCAAGGAGCAGCTCAGCGAGGTGAGTCCCCGAACAAGAACCTTCCCTTTTCCCCCAGACCTCCCACTGAGAGCTGCAGTTTTCATTTCCGCAGACTAAACCCAGAAACCCGTAAAATGAGAATTTGGACAGAGGATGGCAGCACTGAATGTGCACTGAGGCTGAAATCAGAGGGCAGGTGGTGTGGTGCTCTCACCTCGTACAGCTCCGGTGCTGTACGAGGAAACCGGCATACAGGAAATGATTAAGGTGGTTACACAGCAACGGCGAATTGGCCTCATGGTTAAACGTAGAGATGACTTAACATAAATCAGCCTGGTGTGAGCTGACCCCCAGTAACCCCAGGATGGGAACGAGTTAAAGAAACGCTCCAATTATCGCCTCACCGACATCCATATGCAAGCCCATTTAGTCGGAGGAGTAGGTGGCAAATCAGAGCGGAAGCCAGGCATCGCCGCAGCGTAAGGAATAAAATAATGCAATTTAGAAGAAGGGAAAGTAATGAGAATTTATGCAAAATCCCGAGCGTCTCATTTTAAAGAATGTAGAAATATGATTCTTAACTAATGCCTGTCAAGCAGGAGCCTCCCAAACCTAACCAATCCTGATTGTTCATTTAGCCAAAGAAAGCCTGCAGAGAAGGGCGGGACAAACATGGAGATTTTTTATTTTTTTTTTTTCCTGGAGAGGAGAGAAATGATGGAAACAACAACAACAACAAAAAATACAAACTCATTAGGTTCATTGTTTTAAGCTAGTCAGCATTTTAGCTTGGATACAAAGAAGTGCCTTAAAAAGATTTTTTTTTTTAATCAACCAGTTTTCATTCTTTTTCTTTTCTTTACTGTGCTTCTCAGCTCCTTATGCACAATACCCCCCACCTCACCCCCATCCCCTTCCCTCCACCCCCCCCCCCCCTTTGCTTTTTCTCCCAAATTTTTATAAAAGGGTGTCTCTTAATGAAAAAGTCAGGAGGAAGAGGCGGGCTTGTCAGATAAAAGACCGGCGCTTGTTGACAGCTCTGACAGGGATATACGACAAGCACCGAGAGGGAGGGGGAGCGAATGGAAAGGAGGTAGGGGTGACGGGAGCGGCGGTTGTTGTGGTGATGGTTGTGGGTTGGACGGGGGGTGAGGGGGGAGACGGAGGGGAGGAGTTTGGGGGATTCACTGCTGAAAATTGCATGCTGTAATCGCCGCACATCTTACGGTGTTACGATGTGGCACGTCTCTCTAATATGTTGCCAAATAAACGGTGGCCAGACGCTGAGTGTTGTAGCCATGGCATATCCATCCATCCATCCATCCATCCATCCATCCATCCATCCATCCATCCATCCATCCATCCATCCATCCATCCCTCTCTCCCTGTCGTTAATGTTTCTCCTCCCTCTGTCCTGCTTCTCTTGCCTTCTTCCTGTCTGCACTCTAGTTCAGGCCTGGCAACATTCCTCACTGCCACATTGTCCCCATCTCTTATAAATATATATATACATATAAATATATGTATTTTTTTACGTATCTTTTTACAGCTCTGTGAAATCTCAACGAGCGCATTGAAAGTGCTGCTAATTTTCATAAAACGTGCTCCACCACATCAAAGTGGCTCCCCGGCATTAAGAGCTCTCGATTAATGATGCTGCGTCGGCGACGGGTAAAACGAATTTCTCTTGTCTTGCCGGCAAAGGAAAGAGAGACAAATGGCACGCCCGCCTATTTGCCTGTAGAAAAAAAAAGAAAAAAAAAAGTCATGCATCAATTTGGTAGAAGAGGGGGTGGGAAGTAAAGTTAAAAAAAAAGGCAGGGGGATGTTGTTTGTTCATTGCCATGGTGGGGGTCTTTATCTGCTTATTTTGACTAGGTAATTGTGCCTGCAGTGCAGCGGAGCTTCACCACTGAGCCGCAGAAGGATTAGGGAAATGTGAGGTGGCTTCCTCCGCATGTGTGTCGCGCAGAGTACAGAGTGGTTCCTTCATGTACGCCTACCCTCACACACACACACACACACTCACACGCGCGCGCACACACACACACAACCTCATCGTTCTACCGCTGAGGGCAGACGTACAGTCTCTCCCCCGCCCCCCCATCGTGGTTCTAGAAGTTGAGTTGAGTTTATTCATATGGCATATTTACAGCAACAAGGCAATTCGAAGTCCTTTACATGATAACAACATAAAGCAAGAAACGAGCAATAAACATCACATTTTCTCACCAATCACCAAGCAAATACACATCAAATATGTTGATCAGTGTTTGATTTACTGCTAATCAAAGGTAACTCTAAGCAGGTGGGTGTTTTAGCCTTGATTTAAAGGAACTCAGTGTTTCAACTGTTTTGCAGTTTTCTGGAAGTTTGTTTCAAATTAAAGGACCACATCATCTGAATGCTGCTTCTCCCTATTTGGACATCAGTGGAATGGAAAGTTGATGCAACAGCAGCAGATCTTTAAAGTATTTTGTTGCTAAGCTGTTCAGTGATTTATAAACTAACAAAAGTACTTAAGTCTATTCTCTGAGCAACTAAATATACAGTTTCTCTAGGTCTTGCTGAGGCAAGAGTCCTTTAAACCTGGAAATGTTCTTCAGGAGATAAAAGCCCGACTTTGTAACCATCTTTATGTGTTTCTGAAGGTTCAGGTCTGATTCTATCGCTACACCCAGATTTCAGACCTGATCTCTCGTTGCTAGCTGTAACGGTGAAGCTGCGTTCTGACTCTAGATCGTTCCTCTTCAGGTCCGAAGACAACAACTTCAGTTTTGTTTCCGTTCAGCCGGAGAAAGTCGTGGCACATCCACACATTGATTTGTTCTGATTGGCTTTCCCCCGGCAGTGGCAGAAATCATCTTCTGGTTTAAAAGAAGACGGACTGGGCACTCCCCTCCCATTGCCATGTTTTTCTTTCTTTCTTTATTGTCAAGAGAGTGGAGGAGAAGAGGGTGGGGGGGCATAGAAATAGGGAGAGGATTAGGGGCTGGATTTAGCAACACTTTTGTTCTCCAAGGCTGTTTAGTTAACCCTTAAATGTTGCCAGCATCCGCCCCACCCCTCTCGCCATTAGCCGTCGCAACCACCGCGCATACACACACTCTTGGTCTGCCACCGTCCCCTGCCCCTTCCCCCCTCTCTCCTGGGCAGGTTCTAAATCCTTTTGAAGTCCTAAGCGCTGCAGAAATCCATTGAGAGCCATGTATAATGGCTTTTAAAGAGAGAGTGTTTAGCTGTATGCCGACCCTATGGCTTATGAACCGCTGGCGTTTTAATGGATCCCCCCCTTTTTCCCTCCTCTATTTTATTTTTTTTCCCCTCCTTCACCAGCACTAAATCCAATGGATTGTCCCTCATTATCATTTAAATAAGCCTCTCTTTCTGCTCGGAATGCTCCAAGTTGAATGAACTCTACATAGTCGGGCTAATTCCAAACGGCTCCGGCTTCCCTCCACCTATGCGCATATGCTCTCGCGCAAACGCGAGAATATAGACTCGAGCTGACGAAACGGCATGCATCCCTAGAAATAAGAGCACACTCTGCCTTCCTTTTTGGTCTTTTTTTGTATTTACAGATTTTATTTTATTTTTTTTGCCTTCTGTGCAGTGTTGCCTGCTCTCTCCTCTCTCGCTGTGGCAGCGAGGGGTGCAGAGAGGTTCAGGAGAGAGGGAATAGCCTTTTGATTCCCACAGGGCCTGCTTTCCGGTTCGCGGCAGGACTCCTTGGTAATCGGCGCCACAGGAGCTGTCCTGCGAATCAGAGGGGCACACAGGCGTTGATGAGGGGCTGATGCCTAGAGCAGGTGTAGGTGAATAGTTGAGGGGCACTGGGAGAGTGCAGAACAAGGGAGGCAGGGGCAGCGGAGGTGTGCGTGCGTGCGTGTGTGTGTGTGTGTGGTGGGGGAGGTCATTTTGGATTGAAGGTGGACCTATGGATGAAATTGCTCTAGCAGAAAAGTTCCCTCCAGAGACCAGGGGGGAGAAATTGCCAATCTAGACGGAGGAATAAAAGCAGTGAAAAGTGGAAGTGGAGGAAGGGATTTGGAGATTGGTATTCGTGCTGCGCTGTGACACACAGAGAGCCAGAGAACAGAACAAAAGCTGGCTTTTTTTCTCCCCTTGTCCTCTTCCTGCTTTGCTTAGCATTTTGGGGGAACTACGTTTAAAAACAATTTGCAGACTTAGTTTGACGGTGTTCCAAAACCCTTCCATAAATGCATAAAGAGATCGTCATGCTTGATACAATAAGCGCTTTAGGAATCTAATATGATTTGGCTTGGGTAAAGGCAGCACAGATTGAAATAATAATAATGATAAAAAGATTAGATAAAAATAATGACATCAGGTAAATTGCATTAAAGTTCTATTTACATAAGTATTACAAGTCTTGCATTAATGAGCATTATAAAAAAAAGCTGTTCTCAAAAAATGTTACAAGTTTAGAAGATTAGCTTTCCTTTGCAAACACGCACATTAATTCAGTTCAAATTCAATTCAAAAGAATACTGTATTAATCCCAAAAAGTGAAATTAAACACCGTTGCAATTCATGCCATACAAGCATCTTCAAAGACTTGTGGTGGAAGGTGATGCAGTAGCAGTCAGTCGCTGTCGCTGTTTGACTCATGATCCTCATGACATGTCAACGGCTCAATGTCCGAACAGCAGAGACGATGATTCACAGCAAAATGTCCCGGGTGACGCCATCAGTTGCTGGCAGTGCTGCTAGTCCACCTCATTTGCTTTTGCCACGCCTCTTTAACTCTCCGTCTGGTCTTATGGTTAAAAAGTCAGGCAGAGAGCCGCTGAAGTTGGAGATGTGGTCTTTGCTCATTGTGATCGATGGAAGAGATGACTTGAACTTCCTCCTCTCTCTGCTCTTTTTGTCCTGATAAATCCATGAAACCTCTTTTTTTTTTAAACTCCTCTCAGGTTTGGGGTCATAGTTCAGGGATTATTCGAGCTTTGGAGGAGCTAATGATCTGCTCCCAATTGTAAAATCAACACCTTGCTGCAATATAAACCAATGACAAAATGGATCTGGTAGTTAATCATAACCGTTGCATATTTTATTAGTGATTAGCACAGTCCGAGCCGTTAGCATAGTCTTAGAAATTTCCAAAAGCTGTCAGTTTTCCAAAATTATTCAACCTCTGTTAGCCAACAGAGATTGAAAACAGGGCTACTTTGTTGTCCTTTGATGAAACTTGTCACTTAAGCAATAGAAAATAAAAATTGTTTTCTTTTTGTAGTTTATTTCATCTCAATGCTTCTTCTGGCTTAATTTTTAAACACCTGAGTCTTACCTTAGTCAAACCATCCACATCGAAGAGTGTTGCTGTCACCATGACCCATTAGCTCTTGGTATGGGGCGTTCACTGACCGACTGGATCATTGGGCTTCAACTGGCATTCATTTCTGGTCTAATGGTTAGTGTCTCATTAAATCACTACTGTTTAACCTCTGGTGGTGGAAAAGCCACAGTGTTTGAATTTATAAAATGCTAATTTTGCTGGATATGTTTTAGCTTGGTCGCCGAGCCCCAGAAATGAGCAAATGTAGCTGGTTTTCTGATTTGAAAGTAAATCCTTCTCAGTCAGGTGTGACATCATCCCCACAATCCCTGAGAGACTGAGTGGCAGGTTTCCCCTGGATCTCCTCCTCCGTCCAGGCAGGAGGAAAAAGGAGTGATGTGTGCAGGTGTCGGGTACATGACAGGGCGGGCGAAAGGTTAACGTGAATATTGATATTAAAGCGACATTGCTTCATCATGTCTGTGTGAGCGAGTGAATCGCTCCTCAAAGGTCATCCTTGTTCTCCTCTCTCTCCCCACAGAGCTCCGCTCACTCTCTGTCGGGCCGCGGCTACTCGGTAAGTGACATTTTCATGCTTCATGGCTTTACGGCTGAATTACAATCTCCAACGACTCGCTTTATGGCCCCGGCGCTCGACATTTTAATTATGTTAAATAGAGTAATGGAGAAATCATGATATTAGGAACATTAATTCTGGCTGACTGAATGATTAAATTGTGGGAAGGTGTCCTGCACTACCTTGACGAAAAGGGCCCCGCTTTATTGGCATTGATCGGCGCCATTCGCCAGCAGTGCAATTTGGCACCGAGTTTCATATTTTCCTGCGGTAACAGTCAGTGGGGCATCTTAATGTTCGTTATGATATAAATCCTGCTTTCCTTAAATAAGGCAAGGTGTGGGATGGCAGCTACATCTAGTTTTTATTCTTCAACAAAATTTGGATTCGAAGTTTCTAATGATTCATGAAAAACGAGTGCATGCGATGGGTTTTCTTATAAAACACGATGTTGAAGGATTGCCTCTGTGTTTGGGTTTGTCTTACTGGTCACAGTCAAATGTTTCAGATCAACAAAACTGTTTTAATATCAAACATAACCTGAGTAAATAAAAATTTTATAGTTTTCAATTCAAAGCTAAATTTTTTTTAGAATTAAACAACAACTATCCAACCCAACCTGCCCTCTAACCTATGAACTCATCCTGGGCATTATCTAGAGTAACGTAGCTCATAATACAGCACCTTTTGACCTTTTGCACGGGAGCTGCAATGGAAATTTCGTTGAATTCTGTTCAGTGACAATAAATGCTATCTATCTATCTATCTATCTATCTATCTATCTATCTATCTATCTATCTATCTATCTATCTATCTATCTCTTTCAGATTTATGTCGGTTTTTTTTGGCCATTTATCGGTAGACTTGCTAGTTCTTGACTAGGCCACTTCAAAACTTTTACATTTTTTGTTTTTTGAGGGACCTGGTGGTGACCTGCTACCTAATCCAAGTCAGCTTTGACTTAAGGTCACACACTGATTGCTCTGTCTTGACCTTTAAGATTTTCTGGGTGAGAGCAGAACTTGTCCAGGTTCTGAAACAGCATTGCAGCCCGTATCTTACTTATTGTTGAATCATCAACACCGACTTTGACTCAAACAAGTGAGGCATGCAGTGTTTTTTCATTTTCTTGCCTCCTAGATAAGTTGGAAATGCTCTCTTGGAGTAATTCTGGTAGACCAGTCACTCTCAAGGTTCATCACTGTTCTACGTTTAGCTCCATTTGCAGATATTTTGTTTCATTAGATTTTGTAATCTAATGAAAGGGCAGTGCCTCCCATGTTTGCTGCCTCAGGCACCTGTCTGCCCACATCTTATGTTTTTTTGTTTTTTTTGTTTTTGGACGGACTGTACGGAAACGTCAGTTTCCTCCCAGAGGGACTAATAAAGGTATTATATTCTGAATGTCCTTAAATAGAAGAATCACTCGTTGTTTTTTAACTTCATGTTGCTGGACAGATGCTGTTAAGGTACTTTTTTTTATTGTACTGGTATGGTAGCGATCAGGCCCAGTCAGGATCCTGCTTTGCTCCTCTGACTAATCGTATTTTGACAGGACCAGGTTGGCTGGTAGAGCATAGGATTTGGATTTGTTTCTCCTTCATAAGAGGAAATTGTCATTTGAAAACATCTTGTATTTACTCAGGCTATCTTTGTTGATTTGACGATCTGAACAATTTAATATAACAACAAATTTGTAAATGGGCAAATGTTTTAGGGTTCATTTCTATAGTTAACCTAAAAAAGGAGTTGCTTTGTTTTTATCGTTTGTCAAATCTTTTCGCCTTCCTATTTTTATCCCGTTTAAGCATTTGTTTTCCTCCCCCTTTGCATTGACAAAGTAAAGCGCTACCCTGCGCTCCACTGTTTGTTGCCATGATGTGTCAAGTCTCGGAATAATGAAGACAGCGCTTGTCCTTTACATTCTTTGCTAAAAAGGGAGCTCATAAGAGGGACTTTATTTAAAACATGCTCCTTATTTGCAAATGAGCGGCATATGGTGCGGGTTATTGTAGCTCGGAAGCAATCACCCAAACAAACAAAGCAGCTATAAATGGTTTGTCATCCTTAATCTGCCTCAAAGGGCTACTGTTAAAGCGCCGAACAAAGCAAACTTCAAAAAACATTGATCTCTGTGGAATCGGGGGGGAGGGAGTTTTTTTTTTTCTTTTCTTTTCTTTTTTTTATGTTGTTTTAATAGAACATGTCACATTCCTGCTCCCCGGCATCAGCACACTCACAGAAGGATGAAAACAAATAAGACCTCCAAAAAAAGCTGGCAGAGCCCTTTGGCTCGAACTGTCAGTTTAAGTCGGCAGGGAACGAGGCCTTCTCTTTATCTGAAAGGCGAAGGGGAGGGATTCGGAGCGAGAGAGGTGCAGTTTAGCTTGGAGGTAGTGGAGTGGGAGGAGGAGACTGAGGTGGGGGGGGGAGGAATTGTGCAAGCAAAGCAAAGTCTAGTAACGAGGCCAGGAAGTTTCATGTTGTCTGGCTCCCCCTCGCCGGCTATCTGATGGTGCTATCTGCAGTGTTTGTAGCCTCCAGGCACCTCCTGGGTACTGAGCTCTGACACTCAATCTGCTCGGCTGCAGGGTCCGCTTGATTTCTGGGGGCTGCTTATCTGCAAGTGCTCCGGGCTTTACAGTATGATGGTTTTGAAGGAGGGCTCAGGGTGCTGGGTCAGAGGAGCTACAGGGATCTGCAGGGCAGAGGCTGAAAGGCTGGAGGAGGAGGAGGAGAGTGAAGAAGAAAAACACAGGGGTAGGAGAGAGAACAGAACGTTGGAAAAGAATCAAGAATGCTGTGCGTCTAAGTGGAGTGTCAACAAGACAGACCACCAGTAGCATTGATGAGTAATCTCATAAGTGACTTTTTAAACTGATCAAGGTCTAATGATTTACCTCCCCGCAAATAAAAACTAATCAGTCATGTGTGTGTGTGGAGACTGTTTAACTGACCCGAACCAGTAAGAGAAGATTAAATATGTCTGATATGACGCAACATCTCAGTTCAAGATTGACAATCTGGCAAAATAAATTCATGATTTTCTTAATTATTTTTAACACAATTTCTCTTTAATAAAATATGACTATAAAAGAAAAACATATTTTACATATTTGTAAAAATCACAATCACTTCTGCCTTCTCCCAGTTCTCCCAGTACTAACCGCAAAAATACGCCACTCAGTCAGAAACAACCAATCAGAGCCAGGAGGAAGGTCTTAACGCCATCAATCACTCTCATGTGCAAGATGCTCACACCTCCCCTCTTGTTCTCTGCTACGTTCACCACAACATAGCCTGTTACAAATGCTAAGGCTAGTTAGCATAGTCAGTGATGATGGTGGCTTTCCTGGAACGGTGGGTTGTCTGTCTGCCATTAGCACATGTAGCAGCACGTACACAGGGATGATTAACGTTCAACCAGGAGCTTTTAACGTCCAAAGCTCCTGGTTGTTTTTGACCAGGAGGAGTACATTCTTCAGACTGGAGGAGGTGATAGATTATCTGTCTCATATTATACCCTCATGACATGGTGATAGTTTTAGCAGTTATGGTAAAAACATGTTTTTATTAAACTGACATACTGCAGCTGTACTGTTGAAGAAAGTTTCTGAAATGCAATTTTATTTTAAAAGGTTGTGAATATCATTTTCACGTAAAGTGCACTCTTGCGGTATAATAAGTTTGAAATTTTCCAATAGTCATTACACGGTGCAAATTTATCAGTGATCTTTTTAATTTCTACATTAATTGTTTTATAATCCCTATGCTACTGGGGGTAGTTATAGCAACAGTATTATTATTATTATTTTTTATTATTATTATTTTAGTCCTCTCTCACCAATGTAGCTCCTGCTACATTATATTTGTCAGGCAGTAATTACAGTCTGGGCACACAGTGCACCCAGCATTCAAACTGTTGGTTGAAATCGCTGACATTTGTTGCTGTTGGGTTTGGGCCCAGTGCAGAATGTTCTGGGATTCAGAACACACCATCATGTCATAATGGACCATTCAAAAATCTACCTCTTAACCATTTCCATTATGTCTGTTGCCTTGGTTATTTATTTTCAAATAAATTAGAGGATAATAAAATATTTAAAGCAATGCCATAATATAGAGTTAGACGCTCTGTCATGTTGAAGATATTTTGGCAGGAGTGTCGTTAGTAGGTAGAAATTATTTTAATTTCCATAACTGGCAATGAGAAAATAAGTTTCCATATATACATTTACAAGATTAAAAAATTGTCTTTTGGAACACACCAATTTTACATTGAGTGGTTCCTCTGTATGAACCAAATAGAAATACTGAAATGCAGTGTGGTAATTATTAAAATCAGTTTTAGTTTAATCCTTACCACTTAAAAAAATTATTTGCTAGCTGAAGGAAATGGAGAAAAATGTACCTGGTGTGTTGCAGTAACAAGGCTTTGAATGTCTCTTACAGGCCACCGTACAGTCTCTCTGCTTGGCAGAGTTCATGCTTCCCTGTTGTTCTGCCTTGCCGAGCTTCAGTGTTTCAGTCAGTCTGAGTTTGTTGTGGTAATGCTAACCACTTTGTGCTAATCTGCAGCGTAAGACACTAAAGACAGGTTTAAAATCTACATTTTCTCTCATTTAGTCGATTTTTCAAAAATGATTTTAAAACTCTGTTTTCTAGCAACTGCTCTCTCTGTCACTCACACACAGCATCATTTTTATTCTCTGCTTGTACCATGAATAATTAATGACCACTCTTATTTTTATGGTTTTACAAGGGAAGTTAGAATTAAATAAAACGAATATCGGCAAGTCAATCAAAGACCAGAGGTGGGCATTTGGTGGATATAATAAATATCTCATAATTTAAGATGCAATGTAAGCTTTGGTTCTTTTCTGTCACAGTAAAAGCAACTTTTCTCAATAGTAATGTCTGAACTATATCAGGTTGTCATAACGTGGCATTCGTGCTTCTGTGTCATCACTAGACGTTTGGTGACATTTAGCTAAGTGACTGAAGACGGATGAGAATTAGAAGTAATCTTTGGAGCACCGAGTGACGGCAGATAAGCTACGCTTCGACTTATCCTTACTGTCTCAATCACTGTGGAGAACTGGATAGGGAATTGTTTCACGAACCAATTCTCTCAGCGCTTTGGGCGGCTTCATTATAACCTTAGCAGTGGGGAACTATGTGGGCATTGTTTCCTTTGCTTTCCACCTGCTTGTTGTTCAAGAAGAGATGTGCAAAGGTTCCAGGCAATTTATCAAACTCTCTGGGGCTTCAAGATTAAGAACCCCAACATCTCCCTCTGCACCTGGGAGATAGGTGCTGCAGGAGATGCAGAAAATGTCACAAAATTTCTTTACAACGATCTGGCCATCCTGTTGCTTCCTGTGGGCTGGGCAGATTGTACCTCGTAGGTTGAAGAGGGGGTTAGGGGGGCAGATGGGTTTGGTGGGGTGGCATTTCAGCTGAGCTTAAAAGACAACACACCACTCTTTCCCTTCAGATGAAGTGATTAAGCTCAAGTCTCCAACCCCCAATCTTTTGAAACCACCCAAGGCCAAGAAGCGGCGCTTGTTTTCACGCACAATAAAAGCACAGAGCTTTGTCTGTGACAGTATAATCTGACTAGTCTGTTTTGGGAAGCTTTATCTCCACGGTGTCAGGGAGTAAAAAAAGTGCTTTTGGTTGAGCACCGAAGCTCAGGCTCTCAGACGCCCGTTTGGCTTGTCATAATCACGTTTAACGCTAAATGAGTCTACTCTCTAAACAGAGCTATCTCAGAGTCATGTGTACATCCTTAAACAGTTTTGTTTAGGCTGATTTGGATCCTACGACCCCTCTTTGTTGTGGAGAAAAAGACACTTAGCTCCCTGCCAGATGAGGCTTTTTCTAAAGATCTCAATCAAATACTGGATTATGTCAATTATTATTATCTAATAAAACTTTGACGCTCCATTGCACAAAGCAACAGTGATTCATTGGATTAAATGTTACATCCAGTGAACATAAGACGATTGAATACAACTTATATTTTGCACAGTATCGTTTTTGTAGCAATACTTTTATGTGTTTCTAGTTTCTTTTTGAGCAGTCACTGAAGTTTAACTTTCTCATTGTTCTTTGTGTCAGAAATGGAGACAGACGCTGTGTTTCTATTGACCATATGATTGCGCAATTTGACATTTCGAAAAGACATTCATTTTCCGTTTCGGAAAATTGCAGTGTTTCCACTGCGCGAGGATGAGGTGTTATTTATTTTTTTCTTGGCTGAATCAAAATTAGCTTAAACTGAGATGGAAGTACTTTTTTGTGCATTATGCGAGTCACATAATCAACAACTGGATGTAACCAGTGGTGCAAACCACGAAGAAGAAGGTGGCAGGAAGTAGTTGGATATTTTTTAATGGCTTATCGCATGAACAAACTTATTCACGTGTGATTTTTGTTTCGGTTCACAACCACATTAGCGGAATGCTGACAGTGTTTTGTGCACATTTGTAACGGCAACGCAGTTACTGAAATAGACTGGTAACAGAATCCAACAATTTTCATCTGGATCATCAACCTGTGCTTGTTAGGGAGCATTTTTGCTTTGGAAACCTCAGAGCCAAGACAAGGATTGTCATTCTCTAAGGAATTAGTACATGGACCACTGTTTCAGTTTTGCTAGCTACGCTAATCCTGCTAAAAGCAGATTAAAATGTTAACTCTGTGATCATTTTTTTCATATATTTGTTAAACTCTGTTTTTCTATAACCGTTCTCTCAGACATGATGTTGCCTCTGCTCCCAACATAAATATTTAAGAATCGCTTGCAGCAGAAAGGCGAAAAAAAAATCAAATGGAGAATGACAGTCGGCCACAAAACTTTTATCGATGCATCGCTGCTCAGTGTCTCTCTGTCTTTTTCCCATCTGACATCTTTTTTTCCCGCATGCCTCTTCCAGTTTTTTCTCACTCTGCTTAATTTCCAGAGACATGCAGGTGTCTCTATACTACTGACTTTTCACAGGGTGAAAATTAGAGATGGAAACCAGGAGCCCAGCAGGAGTCAGCTGGGGCCCCAACATTGTCCTGGCCTTTGGGTGAGGCACTTCTTGTCAGGGGCCTCTCTAAGAGGGCTGCAGCTGTAAAAGAAGAAGAAGAAGAAAAAAAACCTATTTGTTTATCCCTCTGTGTGGTCGGACTTCAGTTCCTGGACCTCGCTGCCTTTCGCGCACCAGGGACCTGAGCTGTTGCCGCTAGCAACAGATAAAAATTGCTGTTAACCACAGCAGGTCCCATAACACATCAATCAACGGGTCTGCAGATAAAGGCTGCAGGCTTCTGGGGCCCTGGGTGAATGGCGCAGTTGAAAATCCTTTCCCAGTGGCTGAGCACACAGCTCAGATGATAAAGGCCTGCTATCATTCAGAGCTGTGAGAGGAAACTTCATCTTAAGCTGCGCAGCTCAGGTTTTGTTCTAATGGGGATGCATTAAAACAGCACCAAGCACAAATGGGACTCCAGGAGAAGTCATTTGAATAAAAAGGCGACTCCGTAAAGCGGTGATGACCCGTCCTCAAAACGACGACTCTAACATAGTCCGCTCATTCTTAATGAACTCCTAATTGCTTTTACCAGTTGGTTTTGCTTTAAATTATACTTAAAGGCCGAGACGTTCAGCTGCTTGGGGATCCGTACGCTTAATCTTTTATGTTGTTATGAAGGAATTCAAAATCAGCGCCTGGAAATTACTTAATGCAAGAGTTGTTGAAAGACCTCATGGCTGGAACAAAATCACAAGTTATTAGTTATACCACTCTGAAAAATGTGTGTATATATTTATATACATCACATATTCACATTCTGTCCTTACCCTATATATATATCTTCTATTTTTGCATTGTATGGTGAGAAATCTAGTTCAAGTAAAGATGGAAAAATGAAATGCTGATCTGATAGCTTTGTGAAACAATTACATAGTGAACATTTTGGCGTAAGTAAGTCTGTCATAGTAGGCCATGCCGCCCTCTGCTCTGATGCTCTGATGTTCACTTAAAGGCCATCAAATGATGTGTTTCCCTTTCGCCTGAACAAAAACAACAACAACAAAAAGATTATACGTTTTCACCAAAACCTTATTTTGTCTTGTGAAGCTAACGTTGTGCCGGATGTAACTCTTGTGTTATTGTGGAGCGCTACATCCCGTTGGCCTAATGGCTCATACAAATGGTTTCTTGAAGGTGACTTCCATGGATTATACTAATTCTACTGCCCTGAGATCTAATTCATGATGATAGCTTGTGTTCGTGGTAAGAAAGAAGAGCAATAATGACCTTTCCTCATATTAAATCCGGTTAATGTATTCCCACACGAAGCTCCCTGCTATCACCCATGTTAAAGTTAGTCGAAATGAAATGCGGGCTCTCATGGGTAAAAGCATTACTTTTATCCCCACAAGCCCAGCCTTGATTATCATGATTCTTAGTTTGTCCTGGATGCGCTCTCCCCTAACTCACATTTGCCCCACTTTAAACAAATAGGCCTATAATGTAACAATCAAAGCGTGCTCCAAGGATTTGTTTACCGCAGGCCCCTCTCACCATTAAGTTTCACGGACACCGTAGACAAATAAAGTGGTAATTCCACTTTATCATATGTTACATATACCACAATCAAGCGGCAATTACATGCTCCTTCCATTTGTAAGAGCTCCCAGTGCTGACATGGATGTTTTAATGAGGGCTGTAATGAACGCTCAGGGTGTTTGGCAAGTCTCTGAGATGATGCCGAGGCTTTTATGGCTTCCCATTATAACGTACAATTTGCATCAGCAAATTACAATGCTCCATATCATTATCCTGCACTGAGGCCCGATCATAAATTAGAGCTCCAATTACAAACATCTATCTGAGAAGCAGGGATGAATGTAGTGGCAGCCCACCATTTGCAGACAGACGGGATTGAAAGCCTCCTGTGGACTGTGGGATGAGATTTCCGTAGAGGTGTGATATTACCATAAACCGTCCTTGTAGGGAAGGAGCAGACCATGCTGCTGTTTTTTTTGCTGTTTTGGTTTTGGTTTTGTCTCTGCTGTTCCATACAACATGTTTCACGTCAATAAAGTTTTTTGGACTTTAATTGCTGTCCACGAACAAATAGTTCACACTGATTTCAGAGGCAGACTGTTTCACACTTCTCATTCAAACATATGTTAACCGGCCCACTCAGCTGTGAAGAGAGGGGAAGCCTTGTCCATTGTGCTTCTGTTCGTAACGAGCCGGGCCTCCGTCCTGTCCACTCTGCTTCTGCTTGATTGTGTCTCCCTTTTGATTTGAACTTGATGTCTGGTTTCCTACTTAAAAAAAAAAAGAAAAAAAAATACAAATATGATTTTTAATTTAGGTCATTTTCAATTCTGGGTAGGTATGACAATAATGTTGTATCTGTCCATCCATGCATGCAACTTGCACATGTATACGGGAGAAATGGGGAGTTTTGAAATAATGAATGTGTAGGCCTTGTTTGTCATGCACTGAATAATGTATAGTACAGATTAATTTTTTTGTGCCATATTATTTTGAATCTTTGCGTGCAATCACACCAGCCCTGTTTGGTGTTTAACCCTCTCGTGATCTTGGCGTGATGCTCGGGTGGAGCGCAGCAGATCAGACAGAGTGGAAGCCGGCGATTGCCCCGTCAGACCGTCAGTTCTCAAAACCACACAGGAATAAAACTTGTAAAAGTGCATGCGGGGTTAATGTGATTTCCCTGGACAGTGTACAGGGTAAAAAGCTTGCGGACCCCAATTGACCCCATCTCTTAAGACCGCGGGAGGGTCAATCAAACTTCAGGTTGACTAGAAAGTCTGGTTTGTTTGGGGAGGTGTGAACGTGCAATCAAACTCTAATTCTGACCATAAAACCGAACTCTGGTCCACCTTAAAACCTAGGTCTTGGTTCAGTATAAGTGAACTCTTGTACATGCATATGTGAATAACACGTGGACTGTAACATAGGGCATTCTGGGTAAACACAACTAAAACATATGAGCAAATCCAGCACTAGTGGGAGCTAAAATCCAACATCACTCCAGCTTTGTTTATATTTTGTGAAGAAGGAAGTTGCGCTCCGTGTCTTCTTCAGAGGTTTTTGTGTCGTTTCCTTCAGCAGTTCTAGGTCTAGTGCCACCACAGGCGAAGGAGTAAACAGATTTTTCAAAGGGTTTAATTCATTTGATAGAGAGCAGTATGAAAGCAAACCGCACCGGCTGAAAATGCAACAAATGTTGCAATTTTGGTTCCCAAACAAATCAACCAGTGAAAACACGCCCAGCTACAAGATTTCCCTGATTTAAAGAGGCGCTGCATTCTTTCTTTTTGGTATCTCCTAAGAAACTCAGAGTAAACCAGTGACAATCGTAATTAAACACTCCCCTACCAAAACTGCATAAATCTTTTTTTTTTTTATTATGATCAAAATCTTTTTTTTTTATTATGATCATACACTCCGCTCTCCTTTTTTAATATAGAGACCCACCGTTCTCCCAGGCGCAAACTGTAGCTGCAGATGAAACGAGCAGCAGTGTCTCTGTGATGACTGTGTTGCCTGTAATCTGCGACCTGTGACCAAATCTTGCATGGAGAGGTAGAACAAAAGGCGCACACCAACAGATCGCTGCTAGCAACAGGCAGAAACCCACCTCTACAGATGAGACAAAAGGCCCGCGGGCTTCCTGCGAGCCCACAAGAGCTCCACAACTCTGCACAAACATAGCCTGAAATTAAGAATAGCCGGAGGCAGGCCCATTTCTACAGCAGTTAACATGTTGCTTTTTCTTTGTCTCGACGAAATTCTAGCATGGGGTTGTAAAAGCACAGAAAAAAAAATATATAGAAAAGATTTGTTGTTTTTGCTCAAATATAAAGGAAAACCAGTTGTGTTTTTTCTCCGTTTTCGTTCTCCAGCTATATTCACACCCCTTACTGCAATCTGTAGGCTCATTTTAAAGGTATGCTAATGTGCATGTTTTGAGGTGTTCCTACATTTGCACCTCATAGCAGTTATTACAGCTACTGCTGCTGCTCCTTTAGCGCTGCTATAAATCAAGTTTGGGTGGCTTAGGTACCCCCCACTTCTCTAAGTCTGCCTGTGCGAGCAACATTTGTGAAACCTGTACAGTAAAAGAAGTTCTACTAAGTAGGTCATGTTCTGCCACTCTCCTTCTAATCACTCAACGAAAAAGAACATGTTTTTTTTTTTTTTTTTTACCTCCGCCCGCCATCGGAGCCCCTCAGCCTCGCTCTGGGGATTTTTAGGAGCAACACACATTCATTTGATTTTCCTGGCATGTGTTTTCTCCTTCTCTCCCCGCACAACCCTCGTTACTTTGCTTTCCTCGTATCTGACGATACACGAGCAACACCTACCCTGCTCCAGCTCACAAATGTACCACTTCCCCTCCTCCCTCCCTGCCCCCCCCCCTCTCTCTCCTTCCTCACTCCCCCCCTGCGCCTCTTTCTCGCTCACGCCGTCTCTCCGTCTCTCTCTGTGGAGAAGGTGTCTGACAGCAACAGCAGGCAAAGTATAAGATTACAGGAGAAGCAGGGGCAATTATACCTCCAGCCGATGCTGGTGTGTTTATGAGGAGAGTAACTGTTAATGACAGTGTTGTGGTTTCTCCAGAGTCCAGAACACAGCTTAAGCATGCCTGCTGGTTCTGTTAGCCCTGGCAGACATTCTGATTTTTGTTCTCTTTTTCCTCTGCCTGTTTTTGACACCAAGTAGACCTCATTATTAAGCTAGGTAATCTTTTGCTGCTGACTGATTAGAGATGAAAAGCATTTTTTGTTGTTTTTCTGTGCAAACACTTGTCCTAAAAACAAACAAAAAAAATAAAAATAAAATAAAACATGCAGGTGTTAGCAACTGGATATCCATCAGCAGAGCTTCGGCTGCTTGACCACTTCCCTCCTATGTGCTTTCACACACAGCAGACAGATTGTGAAGATTGGAGCGCGGTTTATGTTTAGATAAAGGAGCTGAAGCATAATTGCCCCGTAGGTTTCCAGTGTCCAACACAGACGATTTCCATATGTAGTGCTCCTTGGAGACATTAAGCTAATTTTTAAATGCATAATGTTTGATTCTGTTGGTTATGCTGTCTTTTTTATTTATTTATTTTTTTGTTATTCCCCCACGAGATAGAGATACTAGAGATAAACTTATTGTTTTTTTTTATGTTGTTTTTGCTCTCATTTCATACATGTTGTCTTCTTTGTTTCACCAAGCTAAAATCTTTTTACATTGTCTGTTGGTGCTTGGAAACTGGTAACCAGTTCAGATACTCCCCGTTTAAAAAATTGCAACCTTGACTTGCTTGAGTCTGTTGGTTATTTCTGAAATACAATAGAAGCACATGACCAGCCTCTTACACTGGGATTAAAATGCTCTGTAATAATTTTTATTTAGTTGTGTTTGAGTTGCTTTAACCCTCTTTATCGCTTTCAGCTGCAGAATTTAATTTAAAGCATCGTCATGAGGCAGCAAGCTGGCAGAGTTGTACAATTGTCCTACAAAAGTATCCATACTTTTATAACCATGAATATAATTTGATCTAAACTCTACCACGTCTCTGACTCAACTCAAGTCTGACCAGCTTTCCTGGCCCTAATAAAGAAAAATGTTCCCACAGCATGATGCTGCCATCACCATACTTTGCCTTTGATCCTCACTGATAACAATCTGCTAACACCTTCATGGAAGGTTTGTGTGGATGCTCGGATCTCATGATGCACAGGGCTTCTTCACCAGCCATGTGAGGTCAGTTTGTTTCTCTGGATTTTATTTTGGCAAATGAGAGAAAAGAAGAGCTGAGTACAAACACACATCCCACTTTCCACATTTGATTTTTTAAAACCATGACCATGTCTACAATTATGCACAAGGTTATGTTGATCATTTAAAATTATAGTAAAATACTGCAGGGCTGAAACGATTAATCTGATTAATCGTCATCAGTCGATTACTGAAATGATCATCGGCTAATTTAGAAATTGATTAATCAATAAGTAGAGTATACGGGTTCAAAAAAAATCAAACATATTATTATTGGTAATTATTATAATTAAGCCAAAGCTGTAGAAAAAAATATATATACATTTTGTATTTAAGATAAACACCTTTGTTTGTAAATATGTTTTTATCCAAAGATCCTCAAGTGGTAAAGTTTTAGCTTTAGCTGGTTCAGATTCAACTAGAGGAATGCGATGGTATTGCATTTTAGGCAGTAAAATGTTTATTATTTAAATGACTAATTGAATTATGGAATAAAAGTCTTTCGTTGTCAATTAGAAATATGTAGAATGTGGAATTTTTTTTTAACCAATTAATTGAAGAATAATAATCAGAATCGATTACTATAATAATTTTTAATTTCAGCCCTAAAATACTTTGAATTTTGTGGTTTCACAATGTCCAAGGGGTCCGAATACTTTTGCGAGGCACTGCCTCTTCCTAGTAAAGGACAAATGTTCAGCATAAAAGTTATATTTGCCAATTGTCACCTTGCTAAACACAATAGCTGCAGTTCAGGAAGAGTGCATTAACATGACAGCCGCCCTCAAGTCTTTTACCCCTGACCAGCCGCGCTCAGAGCCCGTGCTCCGCCACCCCAGCATGTGCTCGGCCTTGGCCCCCGTTCACGCTGGGGCACATGAGAGATTAACTGGGCTGGCTTACTCACTCAGCAGGTTCCGCGACTCCCCTCCACTCATCCTGGCCCAATCTGTCAGCTAACCTCCTGCTCCGTCGAGCCATGGCAGCAGGGCATCACAAGCCCGACCCGCCTTCATTACGCCTGCCAGATGGGCTGAGAATTAGATTCGAACACCCACTATGGAGAGGGAGTGGAGAGAGATTGAAGAGGGAGGGAGGTTGTGAAGGAAAAAAGAAAGAGGGGTGGGGGGGGCTTAAGAGAGAAAGAGAGAGAGAGATGAAGGGGGAGGAAAGTAATGTTTTTTTGTTTTCATTTATGTTGCAAGTTATTACATTTTAATGTCACACCCCTGGGACCTGGCAGCATTAAATGCCTGTTCTTGAATAATCGACACTAACTGCAAGCAAATGCTGGGGAGAAATGAAATTAGTGAGCACAGCAATTTGGCATAGTGATTATCAGCTCCTCGGAGGCACTTCCTGGTGATTTAAGAATGCTAACATTTAAGCAAGTCAGATCTCATTACTCTTCAAGGTTAAATCGAGCCGTGGCGTAGGGGAGGCAGATGCCTGATTGGAAGCAGTGCTTCGCCGTCTCTGTGTCTCTCTTCATTTTCTCTTTGTTCGTGCTAATGTTTCTCACTTCGGTGGCAAGACGGCGCAAGCAGAAAAGAGGGCCGTGCGAAATCTGTCAGACCCCAATGACACCTTTTGCCATCTCTTAATTAGATCAGGAATCCTCGCTCTCGAAGGCGTAATTCGTCCTTTACTGGAGATCATCGCTTGTTCAATGTCTTGCCGAGGCCTTGGTATTATTGTTCTTGATGTTAGTCTGCTGAAAAGGCAAAGATCATTGAAAATGAATTAACCAGAGAATTAACTCTGCTTTGATGACAAATAGTCTTAGCGGTACCTTGCAGGCAGGTTTTGACCAAACCGCAGCGCTGGAAGGTTATGGATGAGTCCAAAATGAGATGCGTTTCAAGAGCCATGCATCAAAAACGTTTATCGTTGCTTTACTGGGCGTCAGTACTGCATTTGACACAGTTGATCATAACATACCGACAATTTTCCATAGACTGCAAAATTGTTTGGGAATGTTTGTTACTGTGCTGAACTGGTTGAGATCTGACTTGACAGTCAAAGACGATGTTTTGCTTTTTGCCAGTTTTACATCTAAGATTACATCTGGTGTTCCACAAGGTTCCATTCACAGGCCACTGTTGTTTTTTCTATAATATGCCTTTCCTATAACTCATACTATGAAGTATTACATGGTACCTTACCATAAATATACTGATGACAGCTTTATATTTACATGTCACAACATAATAACAGTAACCTAATTAGCTACTAAAGCTTGTTTTTCACTGAGCTGTATGGCAGCTGTATGTGAGAGTCCAACACACTATTCCTGGGCCCCCTTCAGATGTAGGGCCACAGGACAATACAGTATGGTTAGCATGGAGCTACTGAGGTCACACAAGACAGTTTATTAAGAGACAGAAAAACAGCAAAGCTTGCTACGAGCACAAGACATACCATTGCAAAATGTTGGCTGTCATGCTAGCTTAACACCACGTTAGCTGTTTGGTTATAATCTGTCCAGTGAGAGTCCAACAGCTGGTGGAACGTTCTCTTGACCATAATATAGTGTACCAAACCACATCGACCCAAGTCTCAATCAATCAATCAAGTTTATTTATGTAGCAAATTTCAGCAAGAAGGGAGCTCAAAATGCTTTACATAAAAAAAAAACACTAAAATACAAAGTCACAGAAGACAGTCAATGAAACATTACATTTTGTCAAGTGCCATCGTTCACGTCAAAGTGTTTATTAATGTTTCATGTATTATGGCTCAAAAGCTCCTCTAAACAGGCGAAAGTGTTCAAGCTTTGAATGGACAAGCAGAATTTTATCCAGCATAATGAAGGAATGACAGAAGTAAATGTTTGTGGTTCCAAATAAATGTAATGTGTCATGAGGACTTAGGCAGACTCGATAAAACTAAAACCCAAAATGCATACAAGTTTTGATTCTTTAGAAACGAACTCTCTAAATCACAAGATGTTCAGAAAATGATTGCCTCTTCAAATCAAGTCCGATTTATTTACTATTTACAGCATCTTTTCTGTTATTCTATTAGAATTTTTGCCAAATCTTAGCCATTTATTTATTGATTTTTTTTTTATTTAACACATTTTCTATTTAACTCCATTTTTCTTTTACTTGTTTGAATACATTTCCTGCTACTGATGTAATTTCCTTTGCATCTGATCCTTTTTATTTTATTTTATTTGCATTACTTTGGGTGTCAGTGGCACTATACAGATACACTTGCCATACAAATCCACTTTGAATTCATCTGCTACTCAACTCTTTAATGAACAAAATAATCTAAGGAGTCTTTTATCCGTACCAGGAGGGAAAATGTTTATTACCTTCCAGGTTGTGCAACAAATATGCTTTTATGCTGTATTTCTAAGCCGTTCTTGGGAGCCAGAGACATTTTTCAAAGCAATTTCGGTTCTGGCACCTCCTGGTCCGGTGTTTACCTCAAGCCAGCCGTACACATCTGTTCTCCACACACACTTGATCCAATTAGGTGACACCAGACAATGGCCGTCTCCTCAACAAGCCCAACTCCGGCACCAGGGCCCCAGAACAATACGGAAGTGTTTTTCTCTTCCATTACGTTGCGTCAGATCCTTTTAAATGT